CTGGCTCTGGAGGTTCAGTCTGTGCTGCGTTAGGGGGACAGAGTGGAGTCACCCCAGGAGGCTGGGCTTTCCCTCCTTCCTTTCCTCTCTCCCTCCTGCCCTCCTTCCTTTTTTCCTTCCCATTCATTTTTTGAGAAAGAGTCTCACTCTGTAGCCCAGGCTGACCTCAAACTCTCAATCCTCCTGCCTCCACCCTGGGATTACAGTTGTGGTCGCCACGCCTGGCCTCAGTTCTTTCTTTCTGAGATGAGCACTTCTCTCCCACATCATGGCAGCCTTCCTCCTATTCTTCATCCCACTTGTGTATGGCTCCTGGCTAGAACCCTGACTCTCAGACATTATCCCCAGCAGGAGCCGCCTGGGTGTCCCTCACCCTGCTCCTCCCTTGCTTCCTGCCCCATGGAGGCACCAGCCTGCCTAGCAGCCTAGGAAAAACTTTCCCTTCATTCACCATCCTCACCCCTGGCTGACTTTGCACCCTGAGTATTTCTCCAGAGTTGTCACAGAGGACAAACTGACAGGTTCAATGAAAGCACAGGGATGTAAGGAGTCAGCACAGGGGCCATGGGGACAGTGCAGCCTCACAGACTAGCAGTGGGGATTCTTGACACCTCAGGCTGGCAATGGAGGGGAGGGGGTTTGCATTCAGAGACCGGACAGCGTCCAGCACGGAGGTAGACTGCAGATTGGCCTTGAGAAGGTGGCTGGCAGCCAGGAAGGCAGGTGACAATCATGCCACAACCCAGGTGGGCAGGGCTCAGGCTACCCAACTTAGCCAAAAGCAAGTGGCCAGTGCTGGCGCGTGTCCAGGGATAAAGTCCACAGAAACAACGGGCTGCCTCACAAGGCTGTGCTCCTGTGACCCTCCCAGGGTCCCTGCCCCAGCAGTCTGCAGAAAAGGGTTAGCAGGAAGGGCAGGCCCGAGCCCTCACAGCCTGGGATGCCCACGGCCACCCTGTTCCATTCAGCCGCTGTGCTGGCCACAGTCTGTCCCCTGCCCTGGAAGATCTCAGTGACTCTGTACCCACATTGTTGCCCAGAGTCAGGTCTCGGACGCTGCCCTGTAGCTCCACTGGGTCTAGTTAGCAGAAGCTGGCTGGCTCAGCCGGCTTGGCTTGGGGGACTCTGGGGTGCATCTCCTGGGTCCTGCCTTGACACCCCCCAGGACCACAGCTCTGCTGAGCACCTGGGCCTCAGGGCTCCCTTTCTCCCTGAGCGCCTACAATACTGCTTTTGTCCCTCGTCCCTCAGACCTCAGGGGTGACAGGCCGACAGGCCATGTGGCTGGTCCCAGGTTTCACCCTCCCAGCAGCCTCTCTTCCTCCGTCTCTGTGGTGAGGTCTGTAGCCTTGAGATGGGACCATCCTTGGGCTCTGAGCCCAAGGATGCCAGGTCTCCTGAGCTGGACATTTTAGCACCCAGGAGGTATGTTGGGGGAAGATGGGCCACTATAGGAAGCTGTGTGTCAGTCACAACAGGGAAAGACAGCTGACATTTTAAAATCCATGAGGTTAACCTTGCTTTTTTGTCTTTATTTTTTAATTGTACTGGGATTTGAACTAAGGCCTCACGCTTGCTAGGCACTACCTCTTGAGCCACACCTCCAGCCCTTTTTGCTTTTAACTATTTTTTGAATAAGGTTTCACATTTTTTGCCTGGGGATTAGCCTCAAACCTGGATCCCAAGTAGCTGGGACCACAGGTGCACGCAGCTACGTCTGGCTTATTGATTGAGATGGGGGTCTCACTAACATTTTGGCCAGGCTAGCCTCAAACTGATATCCTCCTGACCTCTGCCTTCCAAGTAGCTGGGATTACAGGCAGGAGCCACCGTGTATGGACCTCTTGATTCTCTGCTTTTAAAATGTGTAATCAGAATGATTCTGGGTTTGTGACTTAAAATTGGACCATGCAGGAGAATTTAATGCATCTTCGAACAGTCCCCAAATGCTTGAGATTTGTTTTAAGTTCAATTTGTTAGATGGACTAGTGTTTTTTGGGCACTTGGGGAAATTTCTGATGTTATCAGGCATTTAAAGTGCTTAAAAAAGGAAGGAAGAAATGTTACCTTTGTGTCACTTTTGAAAGATTCACAGGACTTAATTAACTAAAGGCACAAATGACTTGGTTGTGCAATGGCTCTGGGTTAATCTGTCCTCCTGAGTTAAGCAAACCTTAATCGAAGACAAAGATGAGGTGCCTGCTCTTATTTGATTGCATTTGTATCTGTAATAATGCGATCTTTAAATTTAACTTAGAGGCTTAAGTAGGTTTTGAGAGTTGTGACTTTAATAAACTGTTGATAAAAATTTAAAACCTATCTTAATCTTTTCTGTGAAAAGCACCACAGGAAACTAAATGAAACACCTCCAAAGCCCCCTGCAAAGTGACGAGGTGCAAGGCCCAACCAAAGCTCACATCCCCACCAGGCCAGGCTCACGGCCACCACCAGCTGGCCCTGGGCACTTCCTTACCACTCACTTGGCGGGGCCCCAGCCGAAGGCGCTCTGGGCCAATAGCCCAGGCACCATGGCCCAGGAGAACATGGTTCAGCCAGGGACTGAGGGGAGGTCTGTGTGTCCCAGTGTCCCAGGCCACGCCAGTGGACACCCAGACCGCCGGGGGGAAGAGGGACAACTCTGGGAAAGTCCTCGCTGCTGGCTCTGCTCTGAGTGTCTTCCCCTGGGCCAGGCCTGTCGTTTCTACAGGAACTTCAGTTACCTCGGGGCCAGAGTGGAGACAGAGACCAGTCTCTTGCCTCCTCCATCCCCAGAATCCTTTGAGGGTGCTACTACTCCCTGCTTTCCTGTGACAAAGTGACATCCACAGTGTGGACTGAACAGTGTCCCTAAAGGTTCCGACCCTAGGACCTCAGGGTGCACCCTGTTGGAAGACAGGGTTCTACAGTTAGACAAAGGCCACTTAGGGGCCCCTGTCCACCACGATTGGTGTCCTGATGACAGAGGAAATGTGGACACAGAGCCACGCACAGAGAGAAGACGACGTGGGGGATGGTGGCCAAGTGACCCCAGGGATGAACACACAACCCAAGGGGCAGAGAAGCGTGGAAGCTGAGAGAGGCAGAGAGGACCCCCCGGACCTCAAACTCTCAGCCTCCACAGTTGAGAGAGAAACCCTGTTGCCTTCAGCCCGGGCCTTGGCCCACATGTGGCACCTGCAAGACACAGCCTCATTACAGAGCAGCCGCTCCTGATTAGAGACTGACCGACTGGTTGGGCAGAGGCTGAGCCTGGATGAAGTGGAGTCACAGGAAACGCACACGACATCAACGTGCAGAACTGGGCAAGGTGAGGACTTGACACCACGAGCTGGTCCCACCATGCCTGGCACCAAAGCCTGGACCACGGCCCCCTGGAAGAAGTCCAGTCCCCAACATGGCCACAAGAGGTTCTGCAGCCCAGTACAGGCCTGCTATACCCCATGGCCTCAATCCAACCCCGAGCCATGCTGGTGGAGAACAGAGCCCAGAATACCGGCCTAGGTGGAGCCGGACCTCTGAATCCAATTTTATTTTGGATTTTATTTCTTTTCAGGATAAGAAGGTGCATTGTTTTTCCTCTACAAAATTCTCAGACTGCTCCAGGTGTAGCCATTGCTATGAACATGGAGTCCCACCAGTGGGAGGTGAGGCTGACAGAGCCTCCTTGTGAGAGCCAGTGGCAGAGGATCCTGGCTCCTCAGGGAGCCTCAGCCAGGGTGACCTTCCCGGTGCTCTCAGCTCTGCAGGGCCTGGGGCTTGGTGGGCTGCACCGCCTCCCACCTGCCATGTCTGGCATCTCCCTGCCCTCATGGTGGCACCTCCACCCTTCCCAACACTTTGACCCTCATGCCCAGCCCTCCACCAGCCTCCTTCAGAATCACTCAAGGGTCTGGGATCTGGTTCTGCTTGCCGTCTCCATCCCCCTCCTGTAATTCTCCCTGCTGGGTCCTTGTCCCCACAGTGTGTCCTCTTCCACCCCTGGGGCCAAAGGCTCCTTTAAGAAGCAGGGCCTCAGCTCAGAGCCTCCCTCTCCTTCCCACTTAGAACAGTGGCCACAAGCCCCAGAGCTCTGTCCCTCCACCCTACTGGCCACTGCCACACTAGCTTCTGGCCCACCTGCCCTGGGGCCTTCACACCTGCCTGTAACACCACCTCTCCACTGATATCAGTGAGGTTCCATGGAGTCGACCAACACACAACTGTACATGGCAGCCCCAAATGCTGAGACAGGGACAGGACACAGCACTGAAGGATAGGCCAGGCACAGTGTTCGAGACACAGCTCCCTGGATCAAAGTCCAGGCTCCTCCATGGCTCTCAAGGGCTTTCCATAGATGGTCCCTTCTCAGGCAGGCCTCCCACCCATCTCCTCCCTGCTTTGCTTTCTGGCCCCTGGAAGCTGGGCCGTGGGAAGGCAGATCCACCTCTCCTGGTCCCTCTGTGGCCGCAGGGCCTGGCCATGGGGTCTGGCCACTGGGTACTCTACAGGGGAGATGGCAAACAAATGGTTCCAGGACCCCCAGCTCCTGGCTGGAGACAGCCGTGAGGATCCCAGGCCAGGGCCACATCCACATTTGCCTTAAGGGAACCGCACAAGGGCTGGCCAGGCTCTGAGCCTCGACTGGCACCATTCCTTGTGGCTGGCTGCTCCCCTGTGTCCCTCCGCGGGCACCCCACCTTCTACGTCCACTTGAGATGGACAGAGCAGCATGCAGAGGGTACAAGGACGGATTTCCTCCCCAAGTGGCCACATGGGTTGAGGACCGAGGACCCAGCAACTCCACCAGACCTCCAACCAACGAGGCAGAAACGACATCTTGAAAATAAGGGAGAGTAGGGAACTCTGGTCCCTGTTGCCGTGCTAGAGGTTTCTAGGATCCCACTGGGCTGTCATCTCTACTGACACAGCTCGAGAGCTGGAGGGTCCCACACCCAGCAGGCTCCCCTCCAAGAATGAGCCATGCCTGGCTCATCGTCCCCAGGGGTCCAGGCCCCACTCACCCTCATCCCCAGTTCGATGTTCTCTGCACCATACACCTCCATGCCCGGGTCCAGCAGGCCGATGTCCCCAAAGTATCCCCGGTCCACCACGAAGGAGCAGCCAATCATGGCGGGCGTCCTGGGGAGGCAGAGTCAGTGGCGTGAGGAAGTCCCCAGGGTGTGGCCCTGAGTCCCATCTGCTGGGTGCTCCATGCAGGCCAGGCCAGCAGCCCAGAGAGTTCTGGGGGGCCCCAGCCTCTCTGTACCCTCTCACTGCATCTCTGTCCCCACCCTGTGCTTGGGAAGCTGTTTCTCCTCGTGCCCCCCAGAGCCTGGCAGACCCAGCACAGACCAGGTTCCCAAAGCTCATTGTATGACTTCAACAGGTGACACAAACCAGGGCAGGGAGCAGAAGGAAGAATTTATCCGGGGAGCTGTGCAGCTGCTTTGAACACCGTTCCCATGCCTGAGTTCCTTGTCACCTCCTGCTTCAGTGTCCTGTCCTGTCTGCCTCGGCCTTTGGGCCCGCAGGAGGCAGCTGTGCAGGCTGTGCACTGCTCAACCCCACAGAATCTCACAGTAGTCAGCATGACACACCGTGAGTTGTGGAGTGCACACCTGTGTGGTTTTATTACCTCATCACGATGCTATTTACAGCTACATATTTTTATCTTTGCCTTTTTTTTTTTTTTGGTGGGACTGGGGTTTGAACTCAGGGCTTCACGCTTGCAGAGCAGGTGGTCTACCACTGGAGCCACACCTCCAGTCCCACATCCACAGATGTGAAATCACGAGTGGATGCGTGAGTTGAGTTTTTCCTAATGGACACCAAAAACCTATCCCTGGAGAGCAGGGGTGGGGGTGATGACCCAAGCAGGACCCAGCGTGGCTGCGGAGCAAGTGGGTGGTGACACGCTGGTGACATGGCACACTGAGGGTCAGCGGGCGCCTGGTCAGGAGGAGTGAAAAAGAGAGGAGGCGGAAAAGACTCCATCCAGCAGGAGGCGGGTGGAGTCCACTCGCGGGGAAAAAGGGCACCTCCTCAGCTCTGCTTTTGTTTTTAGGAATCGCAAACAAACCAGGAAAATGTCACAGATGTGACGGTGTCCTCTGAACAAGGTCACCAGTGTTATGTACCCTTGACACCCTCCCCCCATTTCAAGCAGCATTTGGGGTCTCGTTTTATGTCTACGGGTAACGCACTTCATCCTCTTTACCCTGAGTACCCTCCCCTGTGCTCTGCCCAACTGCTTCTCCCCTTGACTGTCCCCCCTTTGGCAATCAAATCCTGTTGCTATTTTTATTGTTTTAGACCTAGGTTCCACAGATGAGTGAAAATAGACGATGCTTGGCTATTTGAGCTTGGCTTATTTCACTCAATATGTTGATCTCCAGTTCTCATTTTCCTGCAGATAACAGAGTTTCATTCTTCTTTATGGCTGAGTAATGCTCCCTTGTGCATATCGACCACATTTTCTTTATCCATTCATTGATTGTTGGGCACTTAGGCTGATTCCACCCCTCGGCTATGGGGACAGTGCTGTGATACACATGGGTGTGCAGGTGTCCCGCCTGTGTGTCGATTTGCACTCCTTCAGATCTGTGCCCAGGAGTAATACAGCACAGTCGTAAGGTAGTTCTGTTTTTAGTTTTGTGAGGACTGTCCATACAGATCGCCTTAGTCCAGCCACTAGTCCCTAGTCCAGCCAACAGTGTATAAGGGTCCTCCACCGCCCCTTCCCCCAAATCCTCCCCTGACCCTGACTGGGGCGAGGTGGAATTTTAATGTAGTTTTGATTCGCATTTGCATTTCCTTTTTCTTCCTTTCTTTTTCTTTTTTTTGATACTGAGGTTTGAAACTCAGGACCTACACCTTGAGCCACTCCCCTAGTCTTTTTTGAGATGGTTTTTTTCAAGATAGGGTCTTGAGAACTCTTTGCCTGGGCTAGCTTTGAACCTCTGTCCTCCTGATCTCTGTCACCCGAGTAGCTAGGATTACAGGCGTGAGCACCACACCCAGCTCGTACTTCTTGGTGAAAGACTTTGCTTCATCACGAAGATGACTTCTCCTGGCCTCAGAGCTTGTTTCTCCCAGGCCTTGACCCAGAGGACCGAGACTGCTCTGTCCCCAACATCTCACCTCCCGCTCCGAGTCTTTCTCCAATAAAAACACGGCAAGAACTCCATCGTGGTCATAATTTAAAAGAAGTACCTCTTCCCTCCATGAGCGAGAAGCGAAATAAACCCCGTCCACTGTCCAAGAATAACAGGGCATTAAAACCCAATTATCCTTTTATTTGTGGAATGATTCCATTTGCTCCTGTCATTAGTTTAGCCTCAAAGCTAACGCTAACCAAAATTTAGTGCCATCTTTGACTTTTTTTTGTTGGTGGCATTGGGGTTTGAACTCAGGGCCTCGCGATTGCTAGGCAGGCGTTCTACCACCTAAGCCACTCCACCAGCCGTCTTTGACTTTTGATCATGTGCACTCAATGGTTAGGTGAGTCCAACGAGCAGCAGGTTCGTCTCTCGCTTTCTCCACGGCCACACTAATCCTGATGAATGGGATGTCCATATCCCTGCCCGCCAAACCTGTTATAACTGGTAGTGATTTTTTTATGATTGCTCAGTTCCAAAATAAACTTAAATAAACTCATAAGGAATTTATTTGCATGAGAAATTCTTGCTGTGATTACAGAAAACAGCAGAGCTAAAGGATGCCCATGCTGAGTGGTTCTCAGGTTTGGGGGTGCCCTGACTATTATGGGGATCATCCCTACTTGTGGGCTGTCCTACAACCTTCAGGGAGATAGCAGGGCACGGAAGTGATCCCCCAGGTCCTGGCTGGAGCACTGCTTGTTCCAAAGCCATGATCTCCTCCTTCTGGCTCCTGTCTTCTGGGCCTTTAGGTCCACCCAGACCCTGTGTTAAGGTTAAACGTGGAATCGAGACACCTGCCCAGAGTAGGAGAGGGGATAAAGAAATAGTGGTCTGTCCACACAATGGAGTACTATACAGGCACAAAGAAATGATATGACGTGTGTCTTCTGTCCCAAGGGCATGGCACAGTGGAGGTGATGTCTGAGATGGCTCCTTGTGGAAGTCTTTGGGTGAACACAGTTTTCGCTTATCTTTGCTAAGGCTCCCGAGAGTTGAATGTCTGGGTTCAGGGAGCTTTTGTACATTTTTAAAAGGCCCCACCTGTTCTCCAAGCTGTTCCCCATTTATCAGGCTCCCAGCAGCGCTTGCTCTTGTCAGCTTTCGTTTTCCCTCTGGTTGTGGGCAGGTTGCCATGCCCACTGGGTTCTCAGTTTGCATTTCTCCAGCATCTTTCCATGGGACCAGCCACGTGCTCTCTGTTTTCTCTGGTGTAGGATCTGCGAGGTGCTTCCTCGTGGTTGTAGGATTCTGGCACAGGTGCTAATGGCTCTGCAGGTGCCACTGGGTAAGGGGCACGTTGGGAATTGAAGCAGCGCCCGGCTGCAGGTGGCCGTCCACTGCCTGCCAGAAACGGTGGGAGAGGCCTCCTGCTGGATTCACTGACCTCTCAAATGTCACACACTAGGCATTTGTTTTGCTAATTGGGATCATCAAGGACATTTCAGATGAAGAGAAAAAACCTTCAGACCCCGTGAGCCCCAGGGATCCATCGACTGCCTTATGCCGTCTCGGCCCTGTGGTGCCTACGCCCGGCCCAGCTCGGGGGATCGGTGGGCGTCCACGGCAGCACTGGCAGCCTCATTGGTTTTGCTGTTTCCAGCAACTTCCTCTGCGGTGGAAGCAGTTTTTCCTCCCGTGGAATCAGACAAGGGCGGTTTGGGGCCAAGTGATTTCATCTCACAATGTCCCTGCCATGCTACTGAACATCCAGGCTGCCCTGGAACTCAATTTATCACTGACAGCTCTCTGCTGGCAGAGGGTACAGTTGTTCAGAAATGCGGGCATCCATGGTCTGCAGGGCAGAACTGCCCACCAGCCTGGATAACACCCCCCATGACATCCTCCTAGGAGAAAGGCCAGTGCAAGGTGCCCTGATGGACGGTCTCAGTCCCCGATGGCAAAGGGGCCTACCACCTTGCATGGGGAGAAGGGGTGAGGTCCTACCAGGCCTCTGAGACTCCCACCCCACCCCAGTCCTGTGAGGAGACCAGATGAGAAGGGCAATGGCTCAGGGGCCTCTCTCTAGGGAAAGTGCTGGCATCTTTGTGGGTCACCAGGAGAAATTGGGGTGAGCCTGCAGATTCTAAGGTGTGGATTTCCCAGGGATTTATCAGACAGGAGTTGGGGCGGGGAAGGGGCTCAGAAGCTCAGTTGGTGGTGGGAAGAGATGAAGTAAGCCAGGTGGAAGAAAGCTGGCAGGGCAGGAATGACGTTACTGTTGGCAGGACATCAGGGGGTGGTGGGGTCTGCAGCCAGCCAGGGCTCAGTGACCCCTTCTCAGCTCAGCCAACTGCTGCCCGTTCATGCTGGGCTCAGTTTCCTAAGAAACGCTGTCATTGTGCATTTAAAAAGGTTAAAGCTCTCCCCCTCTTTAAAGAACTCACTCAAAATAAAAATAAATACTTTGCAGGACAATCTGTGGGGGTCAGATTAAATGACCATGGATCCCTCTGTCTCTCTTTGTTTTCTCTCTCTCTCTCTCTCTCTTCCACTCTATCTCCCCCTCTGTCTCTCTCTGTCTCTTTCTGTATCTCCCTCTATCTCTCCTATCTCTCCCTGTCTCTCTCTGTGCCTCTCCCTCTGTCTCCATCTCTCCCTCCATCTCCCTTTGTCTATTCTGTCTCTCCCTCTGTCTCTCTCTTTCTCTTGTCTCTCTCTCTGTCTCTTCCACTCTATCTCTCCCTCTGTCTCCATCTCCCCCTCCATCTCCCTCTGTCTCTTTTGTCTCTCCCTCTGTCTCTCTCTCTTTCACCCTCTTCCCCTCTCAGTCCTCCGGACCCTGTCCTCTGGCCTCAGCTCTGAGCTGGCCCTGTCGCTCAGTGATGGGGACAGTCACTTCCGTGCTGGGTCAGCCCAGCTGCCACTCCCAATGCCTGGGCACAGCCACCCTGTCCGCCCGGCTCCGGCCTGGCCGGGGAGCTGCCTCACCTGATGGGCGCCGACTCGTCCCCGCGGTCCAGCCAGTCCTGGGGCGGGGTGATGTACATGCACCACAGGCCCCAGTTGTAGCCGTGGGCAGCGCTGCTATACTGCTGCACCTCGAACGTGTTGTACTTGATGTTGTCGATGGCCGGCAGGATGATCCGCCGTCTGTCCTCCTGGATCCGTGTGAGGGCAGGCTCAGCCCTGCGGGAGGCACACACCGTGAGGAAGGGCCCGGCCCTCGTCCAGCCCGGGGAAGGGTCACTTCTCCCACGGCGGGAGGCAGGGGCTCTGTCCCAACCCACTGGAACACATCCCTGAACGAAAATTTGAAGGAAGTCGTGCTCACGGTAAACTGTGTGCAGTGCGCAACCTACAGAACGGGGCCCGGTTGGGTGGGGGTGAGGATAGTGACTCATGGGTGGACAATGTGTTTGCAGGTGACAGGTATTGTGGAGAGCCAGGTGACAGCACTTTTCAATGGCGGGTCCATTGTGCGAGGGCCAGGATGACAGGAAGTGGGCATTCCAACCAAGAGAACGATTGCACAAGTCCCAGGCATGTGCTCTGTGCACATGGGGATGAGAGATGGGCAGGGGAGGTGACAAAGACAAAGCAGAAAGGACCAGAAGGAAGTGGACTTTCTCTCTCCTCCCTGGCCGTAACTGTTGCTGTCTCCCTGTGTGGGATCCTCGGGGAACTTCAGCCATCAGGACTCACTGCCCACTGTAAGGACAAGACACCCCTCAAACACCTGTGTCCAAGCTGTGGTTCCCCTGGGGCCAGAGCAGCTGGGCCATCCAGTGATCTGAGGGCCTCAAGTGCTATGGCGAGGGTGGACAGGCCAAGAGCCGATTCAGGGTCCGGCTCAGTCAAAACAGCGCGGGGCAGGAGAACCCCTGCCTCGCCCCTTCTGGAACAGCCTCTCGTTCTCCTCGCTCCAGAGACAGCTCGGTGTTTACCTGCCTCTGGGCTTCGTAAGGAAGATAATTAATTAGTGAGCAAAGTGTCGCAGAGATGGAGGCTGTCTGCAAATGCCATATTGCTAATCCCACAGGACCTCCAGTGGGGCTGATTCTGGGAGGGTGGTATTTGCAGATGGATAGCTAGGTTTCCATTTGTGAAAATTAAAGTTACACCAGTTTAAAATTGCATTTTGATGTAACACATTTGGCTCTCACAAGCACCCGCCATTCCTGAGTAGGAGAGAAAGGCTACTTGGTTCTGTTGTGCAGTGCACAGCTCACACAGCAGTAGGGGGTGGCCCTGCTGGAGGGCACATAATTGAGGATACAGTATAGGAGGAGGTGACAGAGTGACGGGGAGAGAAGAGTTGCCTCCCTGAGTGGCAGAGGAGAGAGGCACGGGGGTGTCTGTCAGGCATCTGAAGGGTACAATTAACGCTCGGAACCGAGTTGTGGTCCCAGCTGCACCTGCCTAAGAGGCCAAACCAGAGCCAAGCAGCAAATCTGTTACGAAAACCAGGAGCTCTGAGATCTTGTTCCTTCAGGGCCCACAGGAGCCCTGGGACCAGGCACTCACACACAGAACCCCCGGGCAGCAACGCAGTCCAGATCCCTGGGGCAGCTAAGTTCTCAGCTGAGTTTAAAAAACTGATTCAGGAGAATCGAATCTCTGAATCCCAGCTTCGCTCGAAAATGGGGTATGTGGTCTGGGGTCTTTCCTGTGCTCAACTGACAGGCACTGCCCTGGCCTTGGTATGGGTCCTTCACCGAGGGCCCCATGTGAGGCTTGTAGGTGACTCTCAGTGGCTCAGCTTAGGACTGGGAGTATTGCCTTGGTCACACATAGAGGCCCTAACAGGTGATGAGGATTCTGATAAGACACAGAAGGGAGAAAACAGGCCACATGAAGATGGAGGCAGAGGTGGAACCATGTGGCCACACACCAAGGGACACGGGAGCCCCCAGGAGCCAAGCTAGGTGACCATCCTTCCAGAGGGATGGCACCCTTGGGTGCCTTGATCCCAGGTCCCATCCCTCTAGGGACCGTCCCTGTGTGGGCCTTTGTCCACACAGCTATGCCAGGACCCTCCCCTCTGTCCTCTCTGCTCTTTGCCCTGTGAGTCTGTGAGTCTCACGCTCACTTCCTGTGTTACCATGACCTAAAGTGGCCATGGCGGCCCAGCCTGGAGTCCCAGGCAGTCATGTAGGTACCGGTCAAGGGCTTCACAAACATGAAGACACTGGATCCTGGAGCAGTGTGTGTGTCCACTTTCTAAAGCCCCCCTCTAGGTGAAGAATGGAGACCACATAGGTGACAGAGGCCACTCAGGTGACAGCTGCCAGGTATGGGTAGTGGGAGGTGGGGGGTGGGTGGGAGGAGCTCCTGCACAGGAGCCAGGGTCAGGAATTTGACTGCATCTGCCTGGTGCTTGCTTCTCTTCAGGTAGCTGTGGCTCGTTCTCACCTCTGTCCACAGCAAGCCTGGGTCTGCCACGCTCAGGGAGGTTCCCAGGGAGTCACCAGAGAGGAAATGAAGGAACCTGGAGGAGTGTCTGCGGGAACGTCAAGGTCCCTCCTGCTCTGGTTGTCATATACTAGCTCTTGTGGGTGCCCACAGGGGGTCCCACCATCATCCCACCCAGTGAGGTGTGAGCTGGACCACTGTCCCACTCCTGGGGATGTCACCTCACTGTCCTCACTGGACAAAGGATGCCATTCTTATGGTACCTCCCCCACCTCTGAGCAGCATGGCTTCTGTAGGGCTCTGGCCTGGGCCAGCAGGAGACCCCAAGAGGGAGTTCCAGAGAACTTGGTGCCCATACCTGTCCTGGACACTTGGTTCATACAGGCCCTGCCAGTCCTGCCAGCTCTCAGGGCAGCCAACAGTCCTGGTCCAAGGAGCAAATGAGTGAGGAACGGTTGCTACCTCCCCAGGGCTGCAGGGCCCAGCCTTCTTGTGGGGTGGGCTGGGGTGGGGTGGGGTGCACCCCAATAGTGTCCTGCATGCCTGCTTGTGGAGTGACCAAAGATGTCCCCATCACCTCTCAGGCTACTTCTGTCCCTTGGTTTCTCATTTGAGGCCAATTCTTCCCTTGCACGAGAAGGAACTCCTTGATCTAGAATTTTCCACGAGGACAAGCAATTGCTTCCTCCTGTGCCAGTGGCCTCTTGGCATTCAGAGTCCACCTCTGGCGCCCGTCGGGAACCTTATGGCCTGCAGGTCTGCATGTAGCCCACCCAGCCTCATGCACGTCCCCTGGACTGAGGCTGTACGGTGTCCACACCCACTGAAGTGTGCACAGTTCAGGGCTTGCTGTCCCCTGCCCCGGTCCTTACCAGCCTGTGTTGAACTCCACGTGGGCATCAAAGAAGCCAACAACGGGGGCCGTGGCCACCTTCCAGCCCTGCAGCCGGGCCCGGATCAAGCCTTCACGCCGGCTGTTACGCACGACTTTCACGAGGCCCGGGTATCTCTTGTGGACGTACTGGTCCAGGCTGAACTTGAGCTCAACTAGAGGAGAGAGCCGCACCTCAGCACGTAGCAAGGCCCCCAGGCCACCCATCCCAAGGCTGGGACGTTTGAGCCCTGCCGGCCCCTGATTGACACTTCATAAACACTCTTTGAGGCCCCATGGTGGCCAGGAGTGACCCATGAAGGGAAAAGACTCCTAGCCCCATGAGGCCAGTCCTCCAGAGGGAGGTAAGTGGCGGAGACAGGAAAACAGGACCACAACATTCAGCCATAAAAGTTGAACAGTCCACTGATGGGTGAGTGGGTGAGAAGACCGTCTATCCTTATTAGGGAAGCTGCTTGGACTTAAGATGGAAGGAAGACTGACACAGGCCACCTGTCACAGAAGGACAAACCCACTTTGACTGAGAATGTCCTAAAGCCATCAAACTCAGACACAGACAGCAGGATGGGGAAGCCGGGGGCTGGGGAGCTGGCGTCTAGTGGCACAGTTTCCATTTGGGAGGGTAAAAGAGTTCTGTGGGTGGATGGTGGTCCACAACACCACTGATCAGCGCACTTAGACGTGGTTAAAATAGTAAATCTTGGTATGTATATTTTACCCCCGTTTTTAAGAAAGGAATGAATCCCTGACACACCCCACAAGGTAGACAAGCTGAAATGGGCCCTAAATCCACCAACAATGCCCTCATAGAAGAGGGGACACAGGAGAGCACAAGTTCAGACAGAGCTGAGATGGCAATGAACCCCAAGCCAGAACTCCATGGCATGCCAGTCTCTGTGGCCAAAGGACAGGAGGACACTCCCCGGGGGCTTCGGGGAGAGGCCCTGTCCTCACCCTGGGGCTTTTGGCCTCCAGAGGTGTGGAAGTAAGTTACTGTCACTTCAAGCCCCCAGTTTTTGGTCCTTTGCTGAGGCAGCTATGGGAGACTGCATCCCACCCAGAGCTCATCCACAGCCGTGGAGCTGGCGTGGCCCAGCTCTGTGCCACATCCCAGTGCCAGGCCGTCTCTGCCATGCACGGTGGCCCACTCACCATTGTCACTGTTGTCGTCCACCAGAATGACCTCCTTCAGGAGCTGGGAAGGTGTGTGGTTGACTACACTGTGCACCGACCGCAAGATGACTGAGAGGGCCTCATTGACAAAGATGAAGACCACGGAGACCTGGGGCAGGTCTTCAGAGTAGGTCATCTGCCTGCACCTGTGGGAGGCATGGCAGTCAGTGGGGGCCTGGCGAGCAGCTGGGAGTGGGGTACCCCCTGTGGGAGGCCCACCTGACCAGGTTCTAGGTCCTGCACGCCATGAAAGGGCAGAAGTGTCTCTGTAGATATGCGAACACACTGGCGTCACACTTGTTTGGAAGCTGTGGCCTCTGTGCTCTGAGCCTATGCCTCCATGCACGGCTTTTGCAGACAGGCAGGAGCCTTGAGCAGGGCTTTCAAGTCCTGTTGGTCCACATTGAGCCTATCTTCTCACTTGTTGGGACACTCAGCAGGAAGGGGACAGGGACCTGTGAGGTGGAGCAGGAATATGGAGCCCCAACACACCATCCCCTGAGCTCAGTCCAGCGGTGCCTAACATCTCAGAGTAGGTCCTGGGTCCAGACAGGCAATGCCAGGAGCGTCCTACACCAGCCAGAGCTTGTCACCAGGTGGGCAGTGATGGATGCCCAGCACAGCATGGAGCAAGTATTCCAGGCAGGCTGCTGAGAGGTGAGAGGCCCCAAAAGGGACCCCTGGTTGTGGGGAACTAAGAGTAATGAAAGACCTCAGTGACCTGAGAGTGAGGGGCAACAGAGGATGGAAACATGAGTTCCCTAGGCCTGATCCCTGAGGTGGGGAGTAGGGGGCAGGGAGGATGGATCAGGGAAAGCCAGGACTCCGCATTTGTGTGTGTTGCAGGGGAGCAGCCAGGAATAGAGGGCCTTGGGGGGGAAGTGAGTGAAAGCGCCTGCTTTTGTTTGTGACTCTGAGAAGGGCCCAGCCAGATGCTGGTGTCGTGAGACAAATTCACAAGAGACTGAAAAACAACAAGCTAAGGCCAGCATCAAAAATGAAGAAATGGATAAAAGAGGAAAACAAAACTAAGGTAATTAACTAGGTAAAGTAACAGAAGGAATCCACTCAGGTGTTGGCTGCTACAGTAAATGTAAAGAAACTAAATTTCCTTTTCCAAAGGCAGAGGCTGCTCAGTGGAGTTGAACACAAATGCGTACATGTAAGCACACTAAAAAAAAAAAAGTGATTTTCAAAAGGTTGAGAACATAAGATAATGGGAAGAGAGATGCCAGGTGGTGATGCCACCTCCCCCCCACCCAAAAATGGGTGCTGTGTATGAGTCAATAAAGAGGGTTGTGGTGCTAAAACACTGTGTGGGGACCGCCAACTCTGGAGGAGATGAAAGAGCTCTGAATATCAGCAGGTGAGCTGGCAGCTTAGTGCACTGGGGAGAAACTGAGACCTGGCAATATGGATGCAGTCTCGCCTTCCTGGACAGAATAGGAAGAGCTCAGAGAGTAGGAGGCTACAGGAATGATGTCATGCATCTCTGATGCATACTACATATTTCCTTCCTCCCTCCTTTCCTTCCCTCCTCCCTCCTCCTTCCCTCCCTCCCGTCCTCCCTTCCTTCCTCCCTCCCTTTCTTCCTCCCTTCCTCCTTCTCTCCTTCCTTCCCTCCCTCCCAACATCCCTCCTTCCCTTCCTTCTTTTCTTTCTCTCTTTTTTTTTTTTTTGGCAATACTGGAGTTTAGATTTAGGGCTCATACTTGCTAGACAGGCATTCTACCATTTGAGCCATTTGAGGCTTATCTCCAGCCCTTTTTGCTTTAGTTATTTTTCAGATAGGATCTCACATTTTTGCCCAGGGCCATCTCAGTCCTCAGTCCTCCTATCTATGCCTCCTCCTGTGTAGCTGGGATCACAGGCCTGTGCCACCACTCCCGGCTAACATATTTCCAAATGTTCGTAGAACATTTACAGAAATCGATTGTGAGTTTGCAACACAGAAGACCACAAGGCTCCTTACAAAGCAGGGGTGTACAGGTGAGCCAACCTCCTCCCCTCACAGGGGGCTGACACATGGGATTAGGGTCCATCCTACCTCATATTAACTAATCACACCCATGGCACCCGTTTCCAAGGAGCGTACATCCTGAGGTCCTGGAGGTTGGGACATGAATGTGTGCATTTGGGGGACACAGTTTAGTCTGTAACACTAGATGTGTTATGGTGGGTGTTTTGATTTGAGTATGAAGTTCCCCAAGAGGCTCATGTGTTGGTCTCTGGTGCAAACAGGGTTCAGGGGTGGGGCTTTGGGGGGGGTGACTGGATCATTGGGGGGTCCTCACCAATGGACTAATCCAATTAGTCCTTCAAAATTCGAATAGACTATGGGGAGGTGGAGGAACCATGGAAGGTGGGGCCTGGTTGGGGAAAGTGGGTCTCTGGGGCTGTGCCATGGAAAGATGTACCTTATTCTGGCCCCTTTCTCCTGTCTCTCTGCTTCCCCTCCATCATGAAGTGAGCAGCTTGGTTCTACCACCTGCTCCCGCCATGGTGTTCTTCCTTGATCAGGAAGAGAGCAAAGGAGCCAGCAGACCAGGAACTAAACCTCTCAAAACCTAAGCAAAGTAAATCCTTCCTCTCCTGAATCGGTTCTTTTAGGTACGTTGTCACAATGAGGAAAAGCTAGGTGACTATACTGGAAGGAAGGACAGTGCCCCTGGGGTCACAGCAGGTGTGGGAATGGCTGACAGTTCACAACCATAGCATCTGCTCCCTATGGCTGAGCCTTCTCAGTCCTCTCAGCCAGGAAGTACAAACACCACACATTAAGGACGAAAACCTTCCCCTGGTGCGGGATTTGAACCCAAGCTATTGATGTCATGAGCAGGGTGAGGACTGGGTCCCCATGCACAGCGCAACAAGGAGCCATCCTCCCCCTGCCTCTGGGCAGCCTCCTCCTCCCTGAGAAGATGCAACTATGGCTGCATCCAGAGTTGGTAGTGTGATTTTTTAGGGACAATATCTGTCCATCACATGGCATTGCTATGGGCTGAGATGTCACCACTCAGAAAAATGCATCCTGACAAGGAGTCCTCGCTCCATTTATCTGTGGAGGACAAAAGTTGGGATGCACAATTTTCATGAACTTGAAAAAATGTGCAAAACGGAGACAGGAAATCCATCTTTGGATGGACTGTGGCCATGTGCCTCCCTGCCTAGGGAAAGACAAGACTACTCTCTGGACCGTCCAGGAGGCCACTGTGTTCACCGTGTCACTTGTGTGACGTCATCCTTCCCCAGGGTCTCCTTCGGGGGGTCCTCCCCTGATTAGATGTACACAAGGGGGTGACTGCCGAATAAAGTTTCCATACTCACAACACAGATGTGAGACTGTCCTTGCATCTAAAGACACAGCCCTCATGGTCACAGCAAAGTGACCGTCGCAAGAGGTGTGAGCAGTGGAGGGGGCTGGCTATGGGGGACAGTGATGGACCATACCCCTTTCCTCCTTCCATTTCTAGGTTAGGAGGCTGGGGCCTCTCAGGCTTGGCCAGTGGGCATTTGCACTGCTCTGAAGAATTTTCGGCTGCAAGGACCGGTTAGTTAGGGCATGATGTGTCTGGAGCCTCCCCTCTGCTCAGCTCTCAGACTGGACACTGCTGCCAGGAGGGGAAGAGAGAACCTGCTTCAGGATGCTGGTTCTCTCAGTCTGGGGAGTTCATGCTTTATCTTCGACGTGGATTGATGGTGCCTTCTATTACTCAGTAGCTCTCCCTTCACAGGCAGGCTGCTGTCACAGAGGCTGAAAAATAGATACTGGGCTCCTGGCCACCTGGGGAAGATGGAAGGCTTCCAGGAGCCAGGGGGCAGTGGAGCCTCTGAGGAACTCTCCACCAACCACCCAGCAGCAGCCAGTGGAGCAGTGGGCAGGAGCAGGCCATGCTCCCACCATCCTTCTATGGCCGCTGGCATCCCACCAGCCAGAACCTGACAGCATGGCCATGGCCAGGACACCCTGCAAGGGACACGAGGAAGCATCTCCATTCTGGCATGGACCAGCTAAATTCTAGAAACCTATTAGGAAGGACAAAGGGGAGAAAAGACGGGGGAAGGTAACAGTCCACTTATGGGAGACAGACAGAGAGAACAGTGACACACAGCCCTTGAAAACTACATCCCACACAGGAGTGTGCTGTCACCGTCCCCTGCCTCGCCTTTCAGTACTGCATGTCGTACCTCATACGCGCACCTGGACATTTGCTGTTTTTCTGTCTCCCAGCTTCCTTCATTCCACTTTTTTTTTCTTTGTTCCACTTTGAATCAACTTTATTGCACAATAAAGTTATGCACTGTCCTCTTAAACAAGATCAGACATGACAGACCTGCCGAAGCTCCATTGGCCTCTGCCCCCTGTTTCTGTTTCTCCCCGGTGGCTCTGACACGGCTCTGACAAATGTCTTCCCTACTCTCTCTAAAGCAAGTGCTCTGGAGGCCCTTGTCCCTTTGCAGACAGTTGTGGCTTTGTGACATGGGACTTTGAGCTGCCATGGTGCTCTGGGCTGTGTGTGCCAGCCCTGCCTGGCCCCAAGCTGGGGCAGCTGTGCTGAACTCGAAGGAGCCTTTGAAACTGCAGATGTCAGAACTGAGCCTGATCAGAGGGATCCACCTGCCCCGGGTCACCGAGCAGCAGGGTGTCCAGCACCGTTAGAACACAATGCTAGCTGCAGGCCTTTATCCCAGGCACCCTTTAATGCTTATTTTTCCTCTAAACAGGCTAACACACTGGGGCCTGGGTGATTGACTCTGATTGACAGCTGTCACACCTTCCCTGGTGCCAGCTGCCTTGAGCACAGGACCGTCCGTCTCACAGCCGGCTGGACGGTCCTCATGGCAGCCCTGCTGCTCTGAACGCTCCATGGACGTCTGAGGAAGCTGCACGGCCACCACAGCTGCTGGCTGCTGAGGCCCAGCTCTGGCTCCCGAAGGCCCCGTCCAGCCATGACTGGCACACAGCTTGTGCCAGACGTTTTGTCATCCCAGCCTCGGGGAGCTCTGGAGGACCTGCAGCCATTTCCACCCAGGCCAGAGGGGGCGCCCCTCCCCTGGTGGACCAGAGGAAGGAAGGGCTGTGATTGGTGCCAACATGGCCCTTCATTTGCATGAAGGTCTGCTGTGATTGGTGCAAATACAGTCCTTCATTTGCATAAGGGACTGCTGTGACTGGTGCAAATACAGTCCTTCATTTGCATGAAAGTCTGCTGTGATTGGTGCAACCTTGCT